TTTTACCTCTATTGCATTTAATTGTTTACTTTAGTCTAAATTGCATCTTAGTGTAATTCAACCACCAACCAATCTTTTGATCACTTGACTTACTAACCCTAATCTCGATTCCATAACCTAATACGACCCTCCAATCCATTGGGACGATCCCTACTTGCCCTAACTATATTTTTTTTAGTGAAAGGTAGTAGTGACAATTTATAAATGTAGAACTTGACCACACTCATCTTAGTCCACTTTGCACAAATTTAGTTGCATCGCGACGAGCACACCAAGGAGTATTCTTCAGCATTTCGAGCCAAGTATGGCCAGAAATAGCCCTGAGTTAGGACCTTATGTGCTAAGGACCTACCACCGGAGTAATTACCCCAGTCCCCATCATGGATTTGCTTCAGAATCGTGAGGGCCTCGGTGGGACTTAAACACTTCAGGTAGGGGCCTGAGAATGACTTCTGATATAATTGATTATTGATGATAGAATACTTGGCTATAGTAAGCCTGAGTTTCTGTGCCTTGGCCTTCTGGTTCGAAAGAGTTCCGTCCTTGAGATAAGCTTCTAATGGATCCATCTAGCATGGTTCGTGTGGACTATCTGGGATCACCATTATTTCTTGCCAATGGCTTATACTAGGTTCATCCAAGATGTCAACTGGTACAATTCGGACCAAATCTTTGTCCGAAGAAGATGCTGCAACAGCCAACTGGTCTGCCTCGAAATTCTCCTCCCGAGGTACTTGATGGAATTCGATTTAATCGAATCCTCGTGTGGCGCTTTCCACAGCTTCCTTGTAGGCTTTCATTCTATCCTCCTTGGGCTGATACTGTCCTGTTACCTGATTTAAACACTAAAAACCTTTAAACACTTTACTTGGAACTGGTTTACTAACCAAATCCCGGCAAGCAGGGACTCATACTCCACCTCATTGTTAGTAGCAGGAAAAGTCAGACGAATTGATTGCTATAGCTTGGTGCCTTCGGAGGTCGTAATAACGATTCCGGCCTCGACACTAACTAGGTTCGAGGAACCATCCACCCGAAGCTCCCATTGTGGCTCAGGAGGGCCTGGTTCTTCAGGCTTATCCTCATACTCTAAGAGGAAGTCAGCTAGTGCTTGCCCTTTATGTGACACCTTTGGTTCGTAGGATATATCGAATGAACTGAGCTCGATTGCCCATTTAAATATTCTCCTGGATAAGTCTGGCTTAGAAATAATGACTCGCATGGGGTAGTTGGTAAGGACTTTGATACTGTCTGATTCGAAGTAGTGCCGAAGCTTTCTCTTCACATACACCAGTGCTAGTATGATCTTCTTGATTTTGCTGTATCGTGTTTCTGCATCTATCATTATCTTACTAGTGTAGAAGACTGGATACTGATTCTTCCCTTCTTCTCTAATCAGCACCGCACTCGTGGCTATACAGGAGATTGCTAAGTACATGACAAGAATTTCACCAAGCTTCGGAGCTGATAGAATTGGGGGTTTAGCCATGTAACACTTCAATTGACTGAGAGCCGCTTGTTGCTGAGGTCCCCATATGTCTTTGCTTTTGGATCTTATTGCGCTAAAGAATAGCTTGCACTTATTTGATAATCGAGAGATGAATCGACTAAGAGCTGCGATTCGACCAGTCAAAACCTGCACTTCCCGGCGGGTTTTTGGTTCTTAATTCTGTATAAGGGCATGAGCCTGAGCTGGACTTACCTCAATTCTCCTTTTATTCATAACATGGCCGAGGAACTGCCCTAAAGACACCACAAAAGAGCACTTCGACGGGTTCAACCTCATACCATACCTTCTCAGGGTGTCGAAGACCTCGTAAAGGTACTTGGGATGTTCTTCCTTCTTCACACTCTTGACTACCTTGTCTTTGATGTAGGCCTCGACTGTCTTGCCCAGCATCTCGTCGAAGATCTTGTTCACCAGGCGCTGGTAAGTTGCCCCAGCATTCTTGAATCCTAAGGGCATGACTCTATAGCAGTAGATGCCCTTCTCTGTTATGAAGGCAGTTTTCTCTTCATCTTCTGGATTCATAGGGATTTGGTTATAACCGGAGTACGCATCAAGAAATGTGAGTCTCTCGAAACCAGTGGTAGCATCGACCATCTGATCTATTTTAGGTAGTGGAAAGCTATCTTTAGGATAGGCTTGGTTGAGATTGGTAAAATCTATGCACACGCTCCATTTTCCATTCTTCTTTTGAACTACCACCACGTTAGAGAGCCACTATGGGTAGTGTACTTCTCGGATGAAGCCTGCCCGAAGCAATTTGTTTACTTCTTCTACTATAATTCGATTGCGCTCAAGAGCAAACCTTTTGTGCCTCTGCTTGACCAGCTTGAATGACGGATCTACCTTCAAGCTTTGGTATAAGACTACAGGATTAATCCCCACTATGTTTGAGTGATCCCAAGCAAATGCATCTGCGTTCCGTCGAATGATGTTAATTAATGTTCTATTTTCTTTGACTGTGGGGAAAGTACCCATATAGGTGACCTTTTGTGGATCACCGAGGATTACCTCAACAGCCTCCAGAGACTTCTCAGTGGGCTTTATAGCTTCTGCTTCACCTCTGCTTTTAAATACCTGGGCAGAGGGTTCTGTAATTGTTATTTGGACGTGCTTCCTGGAGGTACGATTGGTTGGGGCTATTTTGCTACCTTCTTTGTTTCGTTCAGTGTCAGCATGTAGCATTCTTTTGCAACGATCTGATCTCCCCAAAGATTGATTACCACCTTACCATCCGGAGATAAGCATCGCATTACCTGATAGAGGGTAGATGGAACCCCATTCATTCGGTGAATCCAGCCTCTTCCCATAGTGAGATTATAGGAATGATGGATCTCTGTTAAAATGAAGATCTCCTTTAGCGTCCTTTTTACCGAAGTGACAGATAAATCTATTACCCCAAGGGGGTCCACCTTCGTACCATCAAACCCCATCAAGGGACTAGAGGTGGGCCGTATTGATGGTGACAGAATCTCCAGCTGCTTAAAGATCGTCTTTGTAATGATATTAGCATTACTGCCTGGATCTATCAAAACCCTTTTGATTATGCAATTTGCCACCAAAAGACTGATGACGAGTGGATCCTCATGGGGGAATGATAAGCACCGAATATTGCATACTCAAACGCCCTTATTTGCATTAGTTGGTCCATTAGTGGTTAAATTGTATAGATTTTCTCCAAGTTTCGTGTTTCTATGTATTTTCAGGTTTGTCTTCCAAATTAGAAATAAGATGGAAGTTTTTAAAGCTTTCTGTAAAGATTAAGTCATTCCGGGTTGTTACATCTGGAGATTTCTAAGAAGAATCTACTAAAGGAGGTCCATGAAGCCTTCTACGATGAAAAAGAGGGCATAAGATTCTTAATGGGCCAGTACTAATTCCAAAAAGAAGAAGTCCAAAGCAGAAGGAGCAGAAGATGCAATCCGAGGCATCTTCGAGCGCTCGTAGCACCACCTATGAGCGCTTATCCAGCATCCAAGTGTGTTATTCCATGTCACATGAGCGCTCGTAACACCTACGAGCGCTCCAAATCAAGGCAGAATGGTCTAAGGCATCTTCGAGTGCTCCTACTTCAGCTTCAAGCGCTCCAAATTAAGTCAGTATGAATTCAAGTAGCTACGAGCGCTTGTAACTCCTTCTTCAATCACTCGTCCATGGTCTCGAATAAGAAGAATTTTCCCTAAGGCAGCTACGAGCGCTCGTAGCTTTACTTACGAGCGCTCGTAGGAACATGGCAGACCCACTTGGCTCCTTGAACCTTTCAATTGGTTTTCCTCCTTTATGGGGTGGTTAGAAATGTTCTTTTGGGGAGGATGAACCTCGGTTTTTGGGGGGCTTGGTAGACATCTTGTCTACAAAAGAGAGGAGGAAGCTTGTATGAAGATACACACATTTTTGGCTAAGTTCTAGGGAGAAAAAGAGTGAGTCTTGAGGCTTTAGAGTTTTAGCTTGCTTGAGCACAAAAATGGAGGGTGGATTTGCTTCTTCTTCTTCATTCCTTGCTCTTAAGGGTAACTAAATCCTTCTCTAGGGAGGTGATGAAGCTTTCCCTTGTAATCATGTTCTAGATTAGGCTCTATTTTGGGGATAATAATGTATAACTTTTGGTCTTTTCATAATCTAGAGCATATTCCTTCTTGTAATGAATTCTAATGTTTATAAATAATTATTGTAAGTTAATTATCTTGTCTTAGATGGTTTCTTATATTAATTATAATGCTTGTATTTTCATGGTGATAATGGAAATAAGATTATGAATGGTTTTCAAGGCATGTTGATAGAGAAACTTGATAGTCCATTGCTTAGGAATTCCCTTTGATGGTTTATACTTAATTCCTAGCTTCATGTACTTTATCATTTGATCAATGGCTTGATAATCTTTTACTTAAGATAGTATGCTTGATACTACACCCTAGTTTAGGTAGTTCAAATGTATAAACTTTTGATGGATCATTCTTGTTTGGATTTAATGAACTTCTTGATGATTATAGGGCAATCATGTGTTGCTATATAATTCTTGACCATAAGTTATTTATTGTCTACCCCCAATTTAGTCTTGATCTAGCATGTATTTAGGGTTTAGTGCGGATTCACTTCCCTAATCCCTTATTTAATTGTCTTTGCCTCTTTACTTCCTAGCATTTTTGTTTTATGCAGTTTTCAATCCATAACTTTAGTGACAAACCAACAAATCTTAATACCCCTTTATCATTCTAAAAATGATTTTAGACACCTAGGTTGCCATAAACTAGTAGTCCAAGTGGTTCGACTTACCTGACCAATAGCCCTATTTTACAATGATTTGTGTTATTGCAAAGGTTGATGTATACTTGTCATACAGATTAATTTTTGGCGCCGTTGCCGGGGACTGCAAACGGTTTAGCAACCGAGGTTTTAGGATTACCTTTGGTTTGATTGTTAATATTGTGTCTTGTGAATATTTTTTTGTGTGGTTTTGATCATTTTGACATTTTACGTGTTTGTGTGATTCTAGGTATTCAAGGCTTGCTGAGGAAAGCTATCCAATTTGTAAGTCTAGACGACTTCAGGTAAGTTTTCGAAGCTCTAGTTTCAAAGTTGTGGATATCTTGCATGTGTTTAGAATAGATTTAGTTAAGTTATGAAGCCCTTATCGAGGCTATTTATTGTTCTTTTCAATTGCAAGCATTGGTCCTTGTCGTAGCCATTTACATTTCTGTCTTGATAATTGAGGAGAACGGGAACATCGTATGTGGATGTGATGGTGAAGGGATATTATGTTTGTTGTGAATTGTGTTGTTGATGTTGGGCCGTAGATCGCTATCCTTGCCTACTCTTGAAGGGCCAATTGATATAAATTCCCTTGAAAGAACTCTTAGAAGAACCCTTAGGGAATCAGAAAATTTAAGAGGACTTGACCTTGAGATTAATACAGTGGCCAACAATGGGGGGAATGGCGGGGATGAGGGGATCCATAATGATAGGGCTGAAGTTCCTAATGCCCCTATGACTCTGAGGGACCATTTCACCCCTACAACTTATGCCTCTCCTTCTTGCATAGTGATGCCAAACATCGATGCAGCCCAATATGAAATCAAATCTAGTACAATTCAAATGCTCCCCTTTTTTCATGGCTTTGAAAATGAGGACCCCTATAAGCACCTTGATGAATTCCTCGAAATATGTTCTACCATTAAACTGAGGGGCTTCCCTGACAATGCTCTCCATTTGCATCACTTTCCATTCTCCTTAAAAGAAAGGGCCAAACATTGGTTGAACTCCATTGCTACAAACTCCATAACTTCATGGGCTCAATTGCGACAAGAATTCTTAAAAAAATATTATCTAGTGAGCAAAACCAACCTAATGAGGCGTTCCATTCTTAGCTTTTCACAAAGCGAGGGGGAACAACTCCATGAGACTTGGGAAAGACTACAAGATCTCCTTAGGAAATGTCCGCACCACCTAATTCCAAAATGGCAATTGGTGCAAGCCTTTTATGCTGGTTTAACAAATACCCATAGATTTATGGTTGACTCATCATGTGGAGGGATGTTCATGTCCAAAAGTGCAGATGAGGTATAGACCCTACTTGAGAATCTGAGTGAAAACTCACTGCAACATAATTCTCGTAGGACTCCAGGCTCAACCAATGCTAAGAACACAAACTCTTGTCAACCAAAAACAATGTTGGAAGAATCATCTCATGTGGATGCCATAGCTCACAAATTTTATCAATTGATGGCACCACACCTTTCTCCTTTATTGTCTCAAAATTCTGCAAGTGTTGTGTTTGCATCATGCACTAGTCATTTCCATCTCTCGGAAGATTATCCCACACCGGAACAATTTCTTAATCCCAATCAAGAGCAAGCAAATGCAATGTTCTCAAGGCCTGGAAATAATCCATACTCCAATACCTACAATCCAAACTTTCAGAATCAAGGGCATCAAAATCAGCCCCCTTCTCAATTCCAAAATTTCAGGCCTCGTCAAGTTACCGTCCCCCTTATAGTCCAAATGTCTCTAATCAACCTCCTGCGTTTCCAACTGATGAGATTTTGGCTGTAAACAAGCAAATGATTGAATCTTTAAACAAGTAAATGATGCAATCCAATAAGCAACTCTTGACATCATTGTAGCCCACTCTCCAAATAGTTCATTCTCATACTCAGTCTATCGCTAAACTTGAAAATCAAGTGGGCTAAATAGCCACTTCAATGAACCAACTTCTTCAAAGAGACAAGGGGAAGCTTACCACTCAACATGTGAGAATCCTAGAGGGATTCATGTGATTGATCAAACCCCTCCTCCGAGTGGGCCAACTCATGAACAAGTCCAAGCAATCACTACCCTTCGGAGTGGTCGAGTGGTGGATAACAAGGTTGATGGAAGTAGCACTGACAAGGTTCTACCTCTCAAAAATCCAAATCTCTTATCTTCTAATCCAAATCTCACTCCTGAAATCCCAAAGTCTAATACTGAAAATTCCAAGCTTGTTGCCCCAAATGTGGAGACTTCTTATGAGCCTAAGGCTCCGTTTCCTTAACGTCTCCAAGAGTTAACACATTTTGGGAACAAAAATTGTAAAATTCAAGACATGCGGGAAGTCTTCAAGCAAGTAAAGATCAAGTTGTCTCTCTTGGATGCTATCAAACAAATCCCTCCCTATGTAAAATTCCTCAAGGATTTGTGCACTCAAAAGCGCAATTCTAAAAATCATTTGCCAAAAAAGATAAGGTTGACTGAAAATGTGAGTGCAATCATTCAACACAGTGCTCCTCCAAAGTATAAGGATCCGGGTGCCCCAACTATCTCGTCTGTCATTGGCGACAACAAGATAGAAAGGGCCCTCCTTGACTTAGGAGCTAGTGTAAATTTGATTCCATATTCAATTTACTTACAGCTTGGGTTGGGAGACTTAAAGCCAACATCCGTGGTCTTACAGCTTGCCGACAGATCGGTCAAGCATCCACGGGGCATTATTGAAGATGTCATCATCAAAGTGGACAAATTCTACTTCCCGGTAGACTTTGTGGTTCTTGACACGGAACCGGTCCATGACCCAAAGAAGCACATTCCTGTGATCCTTGGTAGGCCATTCTTAGCCACGGCTAATGCTTCAATTAATTGCCGAACCAGGGTGATGGATATCGCCTTTAGAAATATGCAAGTCAAACTCCACATTTTCCATACCATTCAACATCCGTACGAAGAGGATGATTGTTTCCTTTTTGATATGGTCGATGAAGTGGTTGAAGAATTCATCCCCTTCATTCTAAACAAAGATCCTTTGGAAACTTGCATGTCTTATTTTGACCTCTCAAACTTTGATATTGCCTAAGCCATCCAAGAAGTGAATTCGTTGCTTGACATAGGCGCTATCATGGATTTTCCTCCTTAGAAAATGCCAAAAGAACCACTTCCCCAACTCTCTATTACTCCTCCAGTCCCTTCCTTGAAATCTCCACCACAACTTGAGTTAAAACCGCTCCTGGCCCACCTCAAGTATGTGTTTTTTGGTGTCAATCAAACTCTTCCTGTCATTATTGCATCAGACCTTTTAAAAGACTAAGAAAATAGCCTTTTAGCGGTGCGTCAATAGCACAAAGAAGCTATTGGCTGGCCAATGGATGATTTGAAAGGAATCGATCCTTCTATTTGTATGCACCGCATTCATTTGGAGGACGACGGTAAACCTTTTAAAGAGGTGCAGTGCCGGTTGAATTACAACATGAAAGAAGTGGTCATGAAAGAAGTGATCAAATTACTAGGTGCGGGAATCATCTACCCCATTTCTGATAGTAAGTGGGTAAGCCCTACTCAAGTGGTCCCCAAGAAATCCAGCCTTACCGTGATTGAAAACTCAACGGGTGAGCTCGTGCCACAACAAACCACCACCGGGTGGCGTGTGTGCATTGACTACCGAAAACTCAATTCTACTACTAGGAAGGATCATTTTCCACTCCCATTCATTGATCAAATCCTAGAGAGGTTAGCCGGCCAAAGCTTCTATTGTTTCCTTGATGGTTATTCCGGCTATAACCAAGTGACAATTGATTCGCAAGATCAAGAGAAGACCACATTCACATGTCCCTTTGGAACCTTTGCTTATAGACGCATGCCTTTTGGGCTATGCAATGCACCAGCTACGTTCCAAAGGTACATGATGTCCATATTTTCTGATATGGTTGAAAAATTCTTAGAGGTGTTCATGGACGATTTTTCTGTCTTTGGATCCTCCTTTGACTCATGTCTCCACAATCTATCTTTTGTACTTCAAAGGTGCAAGGAAACCAATCTCATTCTAAGTTGGGAGAAAAGTCACTTTATGGTCCAAGAAGGCATTGTTTTAGGACATGTCATTTCAAAAAGGGGAATTGAGGTTGATAAAGCCAAAGTTGAGTTAATCTCCAACCTCTCTCCTCCACACTCGGTCCGTCAAATCCATTCATTCCTTGGACATGCCGGTTTCTATCGTTGCTTCATCATATTAGCAAAATCTCTTGGCCCTTGTGTAATCTTCTTGCCAAGGATGTCCCGTTCAATTTTGATGAGGCTTGTATGGAAGCTTTCGTGAAACTTCACAATCTTCTTTCATCCGCCCCAATCATGAAACTGGCTAATTAGTCTTTTCCATTTGAAATCATGTTTGATGCACCCGATTTTGCATTAGGTGCGGTTTTGGGCCAGTGTGTAGATAAACTTCCACATGTCATCTATTACGCTAGCAAAACTCTCTCTAATGCTCAGTTAAATTACACCACTGAGAAAGAATTGCTAACTGTGTGTATGCCTTGGATAAATTCCGCTCTTACCTTCTTGGATCCAAGGTCATTGTCTTTTCGGATCATACTGCCCTTAGGCACTTGCTCGCTCAAAAAGAGACCAAACCTCGCCTAATTCGATGGATACTCTTACTCTAAGAGTTTGACATTAAAATTCAGGACAAAAAAGGGACCGACAATGTTGTCGCAAACCATCTATCTTGCTTACTCATTGAGAAATCCTCTGAATTTGCTGCAGTCCGTGATTCCTTTCCGGATGCGCAACTTTTTCATATTTCCAATTCAAGTCTTCCTTGGTTTGCGGATATTGTCAACTATCTAGCGATAACAAAATTCCATCTAATTGGTTCAAACAAGAGAAAGACCGGTTCTTCTCCCAAGTCAAATATTTATTTTGGAAAGATCCAGAGTTGTTCAAATATTACCCGGATCAAATCATCCAGCGATGCATTCCTGAAACCGAATCCACAAGTTTCCTAAATTTCTGCCACACTCTTGCTTGTGGAGGCCACTTTAGTGCCAAAAAGACTGCTGACAAAGTCCTTCAAAGCAGATTCTATTGGCCCTCCTTGTTTCAGGATGCTTACAATTTCTGTAAATCTTGTGAGCGTTGTCAAAGGCTCGGATCCATGTCCCGGAGAGACATGATGCCCCTCACTCCCATCTTAATAATATAAATTTTTGATGTGTGGGGGATCGACTTCATGGGACCATTTCCATCTTCTTATGGCTATGAGTATATCTTTGTAGCGGTGGATTATGTTTCCAAATGGGTTGAAGCA